ACACTGCCCCGCCCCCGGAAGTGTCAGGCTGCGCCCCGCCCTGGACCCCGCGGTCCGAGGCAGGTGGGCTCGCGGGCGCTCACGGGGTCACCACTTGGGCAGCAGCTGGCCGATGAGCCCTGGGCCCACCAGGGAGACCCGCGGCCTCGGGGAGGAGGCCCCCTCGGCTCCCACCCTCCTCCCCCAAGTTCTGTCCGCAGCGCCCGGCTGCCGGCCAGAGGCACCTAGGTAGCTTTTGCAGGGAAACCCTTCTTCCCCTTCCCTACCCGCCTCCCTCCCCCAGTTCCCGCTGCACCGGTGCCATTCGGAGCTTGTGCGCCCACGGCGCAGCCCTCGCGTTAGACTGAGGATTCCCCGAGGCCGGGACCGTCTTCGTGCTCCAAAGGGAGCCGAGAGGCACCCAGGTGAACACCCAGCCAAGCACCGCGCCGGCATCACCATAGCTCGGTGCCCCGCGGAGGGGAAGGCTTAGTCCCCACCCCTCGCACAGTTTACTAGTGACACCGACTGACGACTGACGACTGACGCAGTGATGAGCACAGTCCTCTCCCAGCCGCCTGAACACAGCCCGGCAGGATGACGGAGGGTTCTCTAACCTTAATAAGCTCATTTGTCCTCTCCAAGGAAGTAGCTGGTGGTGCGGAGCCTTTTTCCTCTGACCCATAGATGGGGGGGTCTGTCCTGAAGGGCGAGTGCCCACTGGGCACCTAAGGACCCTACCTCCCAGGGTTAACAGGGGTGTCGGGTTTGACCTGATGGCCCCTATCCCTACACCCCTGGCAAGTTCCTCCTTGTCCCCATGCCCCTGGCAAGTTCCTCCTTGGCCCCTTGCCCCCGGCAATTTCCTTCTTGTCCTAATTCCGGTGGCCCTTCCTCTTCCTGGCTCTTCACCCCGCACCCCCAGGCGCTTCTAATGTTCCTCACTGGCAGCACATCTGCCCTCTCCTCCCGCCCTCACCCCGGTGATCCGTGAGACCCACCGCCATCATTTGCTTAATTCTTCTCTCCAAAGGACCCTGGGGGTGCGGGCACTGTACTAGCTGTCACTACTCCCACTCACTTCTCCCTTCTGAACACGGCCCACACCTCAGACCCCGAGGTCCCCCCGACCTACTTGGGCTGCATCCAGCCCCCACGTGCATTTACACCATTGACCATCCCTCCTCTGCCGGACCCCTCACCCTCCGGGCTTTTCTTCTTCCTCTGGCCACCTCCTCAGCGGCCTCCTCTGTGGCTCACCCCTTCGTCCCCTACTTTTCTCACATCCTGTGCTGATGCCATCCTCTCCCACGGGGTCCACCTCTCTACCTCAGCCCAGACCATCTGAGGCCACAATACATTCAACCCTGACGGACATCTCTACAGGTGTCCTACAGGCCCCTAACTTTTTGCCCCTTGCAACTCCTCCCTGGCCTTCCTCATCTCCATGAAAGGCATGACATCCACCCAGCTGTCCAGTGCAGAGAAGGGAGCCTTACTTGACCCAATTTCTTGTTGCTACTGTAGCTTCGTGGCTGGACCACAGCTGCTCCTGGGGTGTGGGCTGTAATAGCAGCCTTCCACCTGGCCGCTTGCTTTGACATCAGGGTGGGCAGGATGGTTTTTCTAAAAGGAAAATCGGATCATGTGGTTTCCCTATTGAAAACCCTGCAGTGTCCCCTGCCCACAGAAGGACAGAGCTCCGCAGCACGGCTCCTCAGCCCCGGGCCCAGACGCACCTCTTCTTTTACCCCAGGATCCCGGCGTGTCAGCATTTTGATCCAGCCAGCCCTGAAATCTTGCTAATTCTTGGGCCCAGGCCTCTGTATATGGTTTTCCATCAGCCTGGAACCACCCTCCTTCCCACTCCCCGCTGCATTCACTTTGTGAAGCTGCTCAACCTTTAGGTTTGCCTGCTGGTGTATCTCGAATAGGTAGCCCTAGACTAGTGATGGCGAACCTTTTGAGCTCGGCGTGTCAGCATTTTGAAAAACCCTAACTTAACTCTGGTGCCGTGTCACATATAGAAATTTTTTGATCTTTGCAACCATAGTAAAACAAAGACTTATATTTTTGATATTTATTTTATATATTTAAATGCCATTTAACAAAGAAAAATCAACCAAAAAAAATGAGTTCACGTGTCACCTCTGACACATGTATCATAGGTTCGCCATCACTGCCCTAGACCCGGCCAACAGTTGGAGCTGAATAAATACTGCAGAGGAATGAACACATCCCTTCCCTCTACAACCACACCCCTGCAGGAAGGTGGGAAAAGGAGGCACTAGCTTGCCAAGGAGGATTTAAGAATGCTCTTGGGGCCCTCGCTGGTTTGGCTCAGTGGCTAGAGCGTCGGCCTGCGAATCGAAGCATTCCGGTTTGATTCTGGTCAAGGGCACATACCTCGATTGCAGGCTCCTCCCCTCAGGGCCCTGGTCCGGGTGTGTGCAGGAGGCAACCAATTGATGTGTTTCTCTCACATTGATGTTTCTCTCTGTCTTTCTCTCTCTTCCACTATGTCTAAAAAGCAATGGGAAAATATCCTCGGGTGGTGATTTTTAAAAAAAGAACACTCCTGGGAAGACGGGGAGGCTGTGCTTCTCCCAACCTGTGGGCAAAGGCTAGCGGGCACTTCAAAGGCACCTGCATGGGGTGAAGAGAGGAAGAGACAGAAAACTGACAAGAAGGAGTTCACCACATTTATTGATTGATAATAAATTGGGGCCAGCTGCACCGGAATACTCCCTGCCTGGGCTCTGCGAAGAGGGGCAGCGGTGACCTTTCTGGTTGGTGCCAGGAGGGAGCCAGCCCTGGGCCTGGTGCTCAGGACCACTGAGGCGTGCTGTCCAGCTGGATCGCCTTGGTGGGCAGCATCAGCCTGGGCCAGGGATCAGCCCCAGGGTCCTGCTCCCTCATCCTCTCAGCCTGGGCCTCAGGCGCAGAACCTCAGAGCCTGCCGCCTGCCCACCTGCCCAGCCACATGGGGACAGAATCACCTGAGTGAGAGGAGGATGGAGGAGCTCCTGGCATGATTTTGGGGAGGAGGACATGAACATGGGCCAGGATTTGGCCAGGGCTGACAGACGGGGAAGTGGGGCCAGCGAAGAGCTGACAGGCTCAGATGATGTTGCGCTCTTCCACCTTTTCTCCCAAGTAAAAGCGGCTGAAGAGGAGGGAGCTCAGGTCGATGGTCTGGAACTGGCCCTTTAGCACCATCTCGGCCACAGCTCGGCCCACGGCGGGGGCCTGCTGGAGCCCATGGCCACTGAAGCCTGTGGCAAAGTACATGTTGACGACCAGGGGGTGGGGGCCCACCACGCCGTTCTGGTCAAAGGTGTTGTAGTCGTAATAGCCGGCCCAAGCGCTCCGAACCTGCAGGTGCACGAGACGCTGGGGTTCTCTGGAAGGCCGCCAGGGCAGCCACCCCCTCCTGGTCAGGCCGCAGCACCCTCCACCACTGCCGAAGGGGTTGACAGCGTGGGTCCTTGGACCCGCAGAGCCCTTAGCAGTTGTGAGGTAGACAGATGGGCCTGAGATGCTCCAATGTCATGTCTCCCAGTTACCTTCAGGCTCTGAAAAGCTGGTACTCTGTGGGCCAAATGGGGCCACACCTTGTCCTGGAAGAAATCGTGGTCCACTTCCAGGTTCCCCGGGTCCGGTTCCTCCTCCTGGGGTGAGAGGTGGGGACACAGGGATAGAGCCAGAGCTCACTGACCTCTTTAGTCAACCCCCTGGGTGGGTGGGGGCTGGGGACGAGATCCCAATCGAAACCTGAAAGCGCTGCCACATCAGTAACAGCAGTGGCCCTCCCCAGAGCCTGACGCTTTAATGACCACTGGGCTATCCCCTCCCAAGCACCGACCCCATTTAGCTCACCTCAGTGGGGCTGCAGCCACCCACGTAGTTGTGGCCTAATCCTTCCCGGCGGAAATAGGCTCCGCTGGTGTCTGCCATGAACGGAGTCTCCAGGCCTGGTCCCTCGGGGCAGTGCCAGAAGTACACATACCTGCCATAACCAGGTGGGTTAGGAAGTGGCGGGAATAGCAACTCTTCCCTCCTCCCACTGAACAACCGTTTTTTCTTTTTTTAAAATTTATTTTGATTGATTTCAGAGAGGGAGGGGGAGGCAAAGAGATGGAAACATCAATGAGAGAATCATTGGCGGGCTGCCTCTTGCACACCCCATCCTGGGGATCAAACCCAAAACCCGGGCATGTGCCCTGACCAGGAATCAAACCGTGACCTCCTGGTTCATAGGTTGACGCTCAACCACTGAACCACGCCGGCCGGGTTTAACCACCTTTTATATTGTTTCTCTCCTCCTCTCACCAACCTCCTCAGCTGCCCTGGGGGAAGTCACCTTTTCCTTGGCTCCACAGGTAGCCTGGTGCCCTCCAGGGTGCCAGGTGGGCCCTTCCCAATACCAGCCAGCTCTGCTACTTGCCCAGACCAGGCCCCGGCGGCATTGATCACGAGGGCACATTCCACAGGCTGGTATTCCAGGCTGTGGTCCATCTTCACCTGCAGGCACAGAGCGGGAGGGAGGCAGGGCCTGGCCCCTACAATGGCCACCATGAGAGGAAACTTTCTTCCTGGAAGTGGGTACAAGTTCCAAGTGACAGCCGTTACCGTGCTCCTCCCTCCCTCCGCGCTGGTGAGGAAGTTACGCAGGCTGGGAACTTACATGGACTTCATGGATCCTCTTCATGGTCACCTCATTCCCACTGCTGGTCTGCATGCGGCTAGATGACGTGCTGAAACCTGCGGGAGAAAGAAAATGAAAGAAGTCCTCGAGGCCTTGGAGAGGAAGGAGAGGAGGGTCCTAGTGTCCTAGGGAAAGGAACTGGAAGGCTGGACGCTTTCCCAGACCCTGCAGCCAACAGGGTAACGGGGATGAACTTGGCCGCATTCAGGGCAGGAGAGCACTGAAACCTTCTAGCCCAGTGGTGACGAATCTATGACACGCGTGTCAGAGGTGACACGCGAACTCATTTTTTTGGTTGATTTTTCTTTGTTAAATGGCATTTAAATATATAAAATGAATATCAAAAATATAAGTCTTTGTTTTACTGTGGTTGCAAAGATCAAAAAATTTCTATATGTGACACGGCACCAGAGTTAAGTTAGGGTTTTTCAAAATGCTGACACGCCGAGCTCAAAAGGTTCGCCATCGCTGTTCTAGCCCATCACGAGGCGGAAGCAGCCTAGTCAGCAGCTGGAGTTGGGATGCCCAGGACCAGCCCTCAGGGGAGAAGCCCCTTCCCCCACCAACCCTTGTGAGTGAAGATAAGACATGGTCTAGCCCAGGGGTGGGCAAACGTTTTGACTCGAGGGCCACAATGGGTTCTTAAACTGGACCGGAGGGCTGGAACAAAAGCATGGATGGAGTGTTTGTGTGAACTAATATAAATTCAAAGTAAACATCATTACATAAAAGGGTATGGTCTCTTTTTTTTTAGTTTTATTCATTTCAAACGGGTAGGATCCGGCCCGCTGGCCGTAGTTTGCCCACGGCTGGTCTAAGCTCTATCAAACTATATTGGGAAGGCCGGAGAGGGCTGGGGGCAGGAAGGGGGCGGTTAGAGATCAACCGAAGGACTTGTATGCATGCATATAAGCATAACCAATGGACATAAGACAGGGGGGCGGGGAAGGAGACATAGGTAATACTCTTTGTAATACTTTAAGCAATAAAACAATTAAAAAAAAAAGACACAGTCTAGGCCTGCGCCCTGGATGGCAAAGGATATGAGCAGTGGGCAAGGGGGGCAGACTCACGTGTCACCTCTCCCTGGCAGAAAAGGACCCCCAGGGACTGGACCTTTCGCCGAAGCCCCTGGAGCAGACACCAGGGGTCAAACCAACCTTCACCCTCCAACCCTATGAGGGAAAAAGAGGACGATGAAGAGGGTCGAGAGCCCTCCTCTTCTTTTGTTTCCTGCACCCCCTATTCTTCTTTGGGCTCATACGCTGGGGAAAGTCAAGCTGACTGACTGCACCGAGTCAAATCCTGCGGAAGAACAGAGCTGGCATGGCCTGGGGTGGGGGGGCTTGCTGGCCAGAGGGAGGCGCTGCTCAGTGACGTGGATGCAGGGTGCTAAGGCTTCCCACCTGAGGTGCCCGCAGCCCTCTGGGAGCATGCCTCACCATAAGACGCCAAGGCCACTCCGTCCGTGTTAATCCAGGGAAACTTGTTCTGCAGCTGCTCCGGGGACATCAGACACACTTTGGCTCCTTCCTGCCTGAGAGAAACACGTGTGCCTGTGTGTATGTTAGTGAGGATGAGCGTGTAGAGGGAGCAGTGCAGACCCAGCTCCACAAGCGGGAATTTGACCTCATTTATGCCCCTTCTCTGTCCTTGCTGAATGGATGGGGGACAAGCGTCCTCGGCTTTCCAGCATCTGACCCCTTCTTCCTTTCCCACACCCTAGGGTCCGTTGGCTGCACAGCCTGAATCCTTTGCCTTCCTTTCACAACAGGGTGAGTCGCTGTTCCCTCCGCTCTACCGGGGACAGCCTCCTGCCCACCTCCTGGGACAATCGCACCCGCTAGCACAGCCACCTCCTCTGGGATTCTGTTCCTTGAGCACCCAAAGGCTGCAACACGGTGCTCAAAGAACACACCCCTAAGCCAGAATGCCTGGTTTCACTCCCAGCCACCACTTTGATTTCCCCACATGTAAAATGGGGATGTTCTGATCAAATTGAGTTATTATCTGTGAAGCAGTTAGGACATTACCTGATGTCACGTGTGAGACTTGGAGACCTGTCTGTTGGCGATTCCTGCTCTTGACTGACCATGGTTATCACAGAGGGCAGGGCTGCCATATCCGGCCCTCAGGCTATTTCTGTACATGAGCCATACTCATGCTTTCTTTCTTTTTTTTTTTAGCGCTGCTTTTGTGCTTCGACTGCAAGTTGAGTGATTGCAATAGAGACTGTATGGCCAGCAAAGCCTAAAATACTTACTATCTGGTTCTTACAGGAAATGCCTGCAGATTCCTGGGCCCCTCCCTAGAGACTCTGATTTATCAGGTCTGGGGTGTGTCCTAGATGGTTCTTATCTGGCAATGCGGGGCCCACCAGCAGCACTTTGTCCGCATCAGTATCACAGCCCTAGCACAGGGCCTTGAAGTTCGGCCTGTGCCTGCCTTTCCCAACTGAGTTCCCAAGGGGCGGCGGGCCTGTCTCATCAGCTCCATCGTCCCAGCCTGGACTTGGCTTAGGGCAGCGGTTCTCAACCTGTGGGTCGTGACCCCTTTGGCGGTCGAATGACCCTTTCACAGGGGTCGCCTAAGACCATCCTGCATATCAGAGACTTACATTACGATTCATAACAGTAGCAACATGACAGTTATGAAGTAGCAACGAAACTAATTTTATGGTTGGGTCACAACATGAGGAACTGTATTTAAAGGACCAGAAGGTTGAGAACAACTGGGTTAAAAAAATTGGCTAGGGAAGAAAACCAGGGCCCCGGTTCCTACTTGCCCGACTGCTCCTGCTTCTTGTTTGCCCTCCTCTCTCTGGGCTAAAGGAGGGGACACCACCCCAACCCTCAAATCTCACTGCACGTACATTGATGTTCCGTAGAAAGTCCACTGAGAAGAGGGAGAGCTGGATGTTCTCAGGCAGCGAGAACTGCTGGCGGATCCCGCCCACGGAAAGCCCGGTCGAGGCCTGGGAATACTGTGGGAAGACAAGGAAGGCTGAGGCGGAGCAGCGCCCTGCTACACAGGAGCAGAGACTGTCATGGGTTGTGTGAGCCGTGAACCCTGAGTTAAAGGGGAGTTCTTCTTGCAGGTTTAGGATCTAGGAGGAGCTGCATGGATAAACCCAGCAGCCCAGAGAGGACAATGGTTATAAAAGTCCTCATTAGCAGATGTGCACAGCAAATAGAGTCAGTCATCAACAAAGGGACAGGCAACATGTTAACGGCCCAGAAGTCCAAAGACAGGACTTTTGATCTTCTAATTGGAAAACAGAGGGATATGGCCAAAGCAGCAAGATTCGTGGTTGGGCTCTGGCTGGGTTGGCTCAGTGGATAGAGTGCTGGCCTGCAGACTGAGAGGTCCCAGGTTCGATTCCAATCAAGGGCACATGCCTAGGTTGTGGGCTCAATCCCCGGTGGGGGGATTGAGAAGGGATGGAGAGCGCTCAGGGCGAGCAGGAGGCCGATCAATGATTCTCTCTCATTGATGTTTCTGTCAGTCATCAACAAAGGGACAGGCAACATGTTAACGGCCCAGAAGTCCAAAGACAGGACTTTTGATCTTCTAATTGGAAAACAGAGGGATATGGCCAAAGCAGCAAGATTCGTGGTTGGGCTCTGGCTGGGTTGGCTCAGTGGATAGAGTGCTGGCCTGCAGACTGAGAGGTCCCAGGTTCGATTCCAATCAAGGGCACATGCCTAGGTTGTGGGCTCAATCCCCGGTGGGGGGATTGAGAAGGGATGGAGAGCGCTCAGGGCGAGCAGGAGGCCGATCAATGATTCTCTCTCATTGATGTTTCTCTCTCCCTTCCTGTCTGAAATCAATAAAAATATATTAAGAAAAAAAAAAGATTCGTGGCTGGCTGGCAGTGGTAACAGGAACAGCTAAGTGTAAAACCTGAGGCGTGATGGAACCTAAAAAGGGGGTTGAGATAGCTGTTTGTATTAATTATAACTTGAATGCAGGCTCTCTTGGCCAGACCTGTGAGATCTCAAAGGATGCAACACTGAAATGTGCTTTCAAAGGCAAAAACCTATTGCCAAGGCCCCTAGTTGGAAGGAGGATGACCCTGGGACTAATTCTCCACAAGGTCCAAAGCTCAGTCCCCGCCCTGCCGACTCCTGAGAGTCCTTAGTAAAATCCGAATCCAAGCCCCACTCATGACACTGCCCTACCCCAGACCTCACCGTGTGGTCCCGATCCACCACCAGCACCTTGATGGCACCTCGGGGCTTCTCCAACCTCTTCAGCCAATAGGCCACGGACAGGCCAAGCACCCCGCCCCCCACAATCACGACATCCGAGTGTTCAGGGGGCAGGTGGCTGGTGTCATACAGTGGATCCCAGGACCCTCCAGGAAGAGCTGACTGGATCTTCTTCTTAATTTCAGACACCTTTTCAGTCCAGTCTGTGGGATGCAGTTATGGTCACAGAGAGCCATTCATTTCCTTTGCAGGTGGTAGGGGTTTGGGAGATGGGCACAGGAAAAGGTGGGCTAACTTGACACTGAGTTGGCAGTGCCCACTGTCAGCCCCTCCCAAAAGGTCCACGTGCACCCAGCAGTGTGCCACAGCTTTGCTTTAGGTTCTCTTCCTTCTCATGCATCATGCCCTGCTCAAGATTCCACCTCCTAAGATTAACAGTCTATACTCTCTCCCTAGGATAGGTGACTTACACGTATATATCTCCTGTGCACACCTATACTCAACTGCATTATCATCGCCATTTGGATGTCCCAGGCTCCTGGACCAAGAGGTCCCTGCACACTCCAAGCTGCAACCACTGAAGCATGGCACCTCTGAGTGGCACCTTACCCTGGATATCCGTCACCACCAGCAGACTTACATTCATGTCCGATATGTTACAAAGTTCCGATGACTCTGCCTCCGAAACATCTCCCCAATCTGTCCCCCTTTTTTGTCTATCTCTGCCACCACTGCCCTATCACTGAACCACCACCATCTCTCACCTAGACTAATGCAAAAGCCTCTTAACTGTTCCCACACTAATTCCCCTCTTGTCACCCTCCCCCAGTTCTTTTCTACATCGTAGCCCGACTGACCTTGTCTGAACACTAATTGAATCACACACTCTCTTGCTTAAAACCCTCCAATGGCTTTCCATTGCTCTAAGGATGAAAGTCCAGAATCCATAAACATTGTCAGGGAGACAACGCACAACCTGGCTCCTGCTCCCCTTGTCCTTCTCCTCTCCCCGCACTCCCAGCCCAATTTCCTTGATGACACCTTACTTCCTCCCATCACAGGGAACCCACACAAGTGTCCTCTCTGTTTTGAAACTCTGGGTCCATTTTGCCGAGTTAACTCTGCTCCCCTTAGGTCTCAGCTCAGTTAACATATTCTCAGGGAAGCCTTTTCTGACCCCCTAGACCAGCGAGCTGTCGCCAACCAGTGGTCCGTGAGGTCCGAAAGGTTGGCGACCGCTGCCCTAGACTATGTTGAATTTTTCTGCCACGTTATCTCACAGCCCGGTGAAGCTCTTTTGCAGCACGCAACACATTTGCAACTTGGAGTTTATTAGGGATAGCGTCACACTGTGCTATGTGTACCTTCTTCACCACCCAATCTCCAGCCTAGCAGAGTACCTGGCACATCCTATGTGCTCAATAAATACCTTGAATAAATGAATCCTTTGTCATGAACACCTAACCCACAAGTCTCCAAGTCTTCTCCCTGTCTCCAATACAACGTTCAGCGGCATTAGAATCTGTCTTTGATCTGGGTTTCCCTTCCCACACATTCCCTATTACTACTCAAACTGTTTAGATGGCTTTGGCTAGTTCCTTGCACGGGAACAATATTTTTCTCCTCCTAACCTTTGCCCAGTTTTCCAGCACTTGGAACACACACCTTCCCAGAACCAGTAACCATCCTTCAGGGCTGATCTCGGTAGCCACCTGCTCCATGTAGGTCTACCATGACACTAGCTGGAGACGACCCAGTCTTGGTCTAGAACAGTGGTTCTCAACCTTCCTCATGCCGCGACCCTTTCATACAGTTCCTCCTGTTGTGGCGACCCCCAACCATAAAATTATTTTCGTTGCTACTTCATCACTGTCATGTTGCTACTGTTATGAATCGTCATGTAAATATCTGATATGCAGGATGTATTTTCATGGTTACAAATTGAACATCATTAAAGCATAGTGATGAATCACAAAAACAATATGTAATTATAGATGTGTTTCCCGATGATCTTAGGCGACCCCTGTGAAAGGGTCGTTCGACCCCCAAAGGGGTCGCGACCCACAGGTTGAGAACCGCTGGTCAAGAAAGTCTCCCCTCTCCGGCTGCACTTCAGGCACCCCCAGGACACATAGCGAATCCTCTCTTCTTCTTCCCTCTGGCACGGGCCGCAGCACTGAGCACCGCATGCAGCACGCGCGCAGGACTCAGTGCACATTCGTGCAGCCGGTGGCTCAGCCTGGTCTAAGCGGGTGTTGAGCTGAGGTCTAGGATCTGTCACCCGAGAAGGGCAACCGGGGACCCGTACACCTGTCCTGGCCTCACAAGCTCCATGGGGCAAGCTTAGCCCCTTCTCACAGCTGACCCACTGTCTTCCCTGCCTGAGCCGGGGTCCAAAGTCCTGAAGGTCACACAGCCGGAGACTGGGGGTACCCCGGAACCACGACACCCTCCGGTGTCCTCAACTTTACCCGGAGTCGAGCCTCCACTGCGTGTGCTTAGCCCCCGGCCCACACAGCCTCGACCTGCCAAGAGCCATAGCGCCCCTCGAAACATGGTCCTGGCGAGCGCGGCCACTGAGCGCGACCCTTAAACCTGGCACCGCCCCCAAGACGTCATTGCTCCGCGCCGCCGGCCATTCAGACGAGCTCACCCATTGGCCAGTGGCCGCCTTGGGTCCCGCCTCCACGCGCTATAGGCCTCCGGTCTCCTCGTGACCTCGCAAGAGCCCCGCCCAGCCCCGCCACGGGCCAGCCTGATTACGTCATCACGGCGCGCCCTCCAGCGCGGGAGGGGGGGGGATCCCCGAGCTCTGAGCGGAAGTGCGGTTGAGCTGGTTTCCGGGGCCGCTGGTGTGACGTGTCCCGCGCTTGGCGCAGCAGGAAGTCGGGGCGATCGTGGCCTCAGCTCCCGGCGCCGGCCGGGCTCCATTCCCGCTGCCGCCATGCTCGACTTCTTCACCATTTTCTCGAAGGGCGGGCTCGTGCTCTGGTGCTTCGAGGGCGTGAGCGACTCCTGCACCGGGCCCGTCAACGCGTTGATTCGCTCCGTGCTGCTGCAGGTACCGCCCCCGCGGGGTCAGGACTCCGGGTTCGTTCCCCCCCAACAACCCCCGATCCGACCCATAGTCTCCCTCGACCGGCCCCGCGCCTCGCTCCCGCCCTGTCCGCCCCGGGACTGGCCGCTCGCCGGTAGCCGGGGCTCCACTTCTTTCTCCCGCCCGCGGCGGACCGTCCTGCAACTTTGCGGCGCCCCCTCCCCCTGCGCTTTCGGGGACCCCAGCTGGAATAGGCGCCTCTTCAGACTAACCATCGTTCCCTCCGTTCGCTCCTGGCAGCTTGGTTTTCTCTTGTTCCGAAGGATGGGTGAGATGAGGGATGGAAAGACACCTTTAAATCTGTAGACAGTGTACACCTGCTAGTAGACCTGTTTCTATGACGACTGCTTCCCTCGGGCTCCCAGGTGTCGTGTCACTGTCTCACTCTCCCCCCACCCCCACCCCCACGGTACCTCCTTTTCTCCCCGGTGGGATGTCACAGGCGGTGCCCCAGCATCCTCGTGTCCTGGGACAGGTCTGACACTGGGGGGAGTGTTCGGTGCTTTCCCAAAGGTGGTCGTTGAGGGGCCCGAGACTGGGTTTTCTGGGGAATAGTCTGAACTCGGAGACTTCCTCTCTTTCCAGGAAAGGGGCGGCAACAACTCCTTCACCCATGAAGCCCTCACGCTCAAGTATAAACTGGACAACCAGTTTGAGCTGGTGTTTGTGGTGAGTGGTGGCATCTTGGAGGGACCAGTGCATTTTCAACACAGTCCTGACTGTTGAGAGAAGGGAACCCCGGTTCACAGCAGATGGTGTTATATGAGAAGACAGAGAGGGAGGCGGGGGGAAGGGAGAGACTCTGGGGCTCAGTCCGGGAGCTTGGCTGCCCCTCGGGTCAGGGACACCTGCCAGGCGGCTTAGCCAATCTGGAGGCCCGGGCTGACTTGGCGTCCCTCCGCTCCGGGATGGCCTGTAAGCAGATCTGTTGGCTCTGTTTCTTCCCCGAAACAGGTTGGTTTTCAGAAGATCCTAACGCTGACATATGTCGACAAGTTGATAGATGACGTGCACCGGCTCTTTCGGGACAAGTACCGCACCGAGATCCAACAGCAAAGCGCTCTAAGTCTGTTGAATGGCACTTTCGATTTCCAGAATGACTTTCTGCGGCTCCTCCGGTGAGAGGCCCCCCCCCCCCCCCATCGATTTCCGTGGCTTGCGGAGCTCCCTCCCTTCCCGAGGCCCGATCAGGGGTAGCCAAGGTTCATTGAAAGATGCTTCCAAATGTGCTGCCCCGTCCTCAATGATCCTCTCGGTGTGAGGACCCTGTCTCTACCGGTGAGCCATTCTCTCTCGCTTTAGCGAAGCGGAGGAGAGCAGTAAGGTCCGGGCTCCAACCACCATGAAGAAATTTGAAGATTCTGAAAAGGCCAAGAAGCCTGTGAGATCCATGATTGAGACCCGGGGTGAAAAGCCCAAGGAGAAAGCAAAGAATAAAAAAAACAAGGGGGCCAAGAAGGAAGGTTGGTGTGAGCTCCTTGGACATATGGGGCATGAAAAGTTAACGTGGCCCTAAGTACTGAAGGGGTCCCCCGTCCTCTGTCATTGCTTGTCTCCCTGACTCTCATGCCCCCCGCCCTTGCTATCATTCCCAGTCCTTGTGAGCCCCAAAATGTTTGCTCCTAGTTTCTTCTTTAAGGAAATTCCTCCCTATGGTCTATTTTGTTGGAATCTGGTCCTTTTTCTCCAGGGAGTTTTCTCCTAACAGGTTTTGATGTCCCCTTGACTGCCAGCAAGACGGCCCCTGCAGAAAAGTCAGTGGGGGCCGACAATGGGGTAGAACTTTCCAAAGAGGAGCTGATCCGGAGGAAGCGAGAGGAGTTCATTCAGAAACATGGGAAGGCTGCAGACAAGTCCAGGTGAGCATTCTAACCTTCGCCATAACCTAGCCGTGTTGGGGGCAAGGGCGTTTTTGTCTCTGGATTTTGGGGGGATGTTTCCTCTCCTGCTTCTCCGCCATAACCCTGTGCCGTAACCCTTTCAGCAAGTCCACGAAGTCAGATGCTTCAAAGGAGAAGGGCAAAAAGGCGCCGCGGGTGTGGGCGCTGGGCGGCTGTGCTAACAAGGAAGACCTGGATTATAGCGCTCCTACCACCAATGGGGCCCCAGAGGTTGCCCCGCCTGAGGACATCAACTTGGTGAGAGTCAACAGAGGTCTGAGTGAGGGTTACCATTTAACGGAATGGGAGGGCCCGACCGGTGTGGTTCAGTGGTTGAGCATTGACCCATGTACCTAGAGGTGGCTGGTTTGATTCCCAGTCAGGGCATGTGCCCGGGTTGTAGGCTTGATCCCCATAGGGGGTGTGCAGGAGGCAGCCGATCGATGATGTTCCTCACTCATTGATGTTTCTATTTTTCTATCCCTCTCTCTTCCTCTAAAATAAAAGTTTAAAAAAGTAAGTTGGAAGTAGAGAGGAGGGGGCAGTACCTTGAATTTCTTTGAGTGAAGAGGTCTCTTCCCAAATCCGAGAGACTGAGCAGTGTAAACAGGGTGAATCCTGGGCTTTCCCCCTCAGAACCTTTAGAATTCCTACCTAATTCTCTCTCCTTCCTTTCCCCAAACCCTGCAGATTCGAGGGACTGGGCCTGGGGGGCAGCTTCAGGATCTGGACTGCAGCAGCTCTGATGATGAAGGGGCTGCTCAAAACCCTACCAAACCTAGGTAGGGAATTTCAGGGGGTGCAGGGTGTGTGTGGCTGCACAGCGGATGAGGTTTGACTCCTGCCCGCTGGCTTTGTGTGTACCCGTAATCTCCTGTGCCTGCAGTGCTGCCAAGGGGACTCTGGGTGGCATGTTTGGGATGCTGAAGGGCCTCGTGGGTTCCAAGAGCTTGAGCCGTGAAGACATGGAGTCTGTGCTGGACAAGATGCGTGACCATCTCATTGGTAAGTTCTAGGAACAGGCGGGCTTGTTTGTGGGGTAGGGATGGGGGAGGGTAGAACCATCTAGTTTCCTAGCTACACCGTGAGAGTTGGTGACCTGAAACGACACTCACACACCGTTCCCCTCTCCTCAGCTAAGAATGTCGCAGCAGACATTGCAGTCCAACTCTGTGAATCCGTGGCCAACAAGTTGGAAGGGAAGGTGATGGGGACATTCAGCAGTAAGTATCGGCCTCAACCAGTGTGCGCAGGGCATTATGCATACCAGTGCGTTGGCCTCCATGACTTCTGGCAAATCTCTGAAGCTCTCAACCTCTGTTACATGACTTAGATTTTGTTACTAAGAGGTTTAAATGAGTTAATACTTGGGAAGTGTTTGTTCGGACAGAACCAGATATGTGTGGATTCCTGGGGCAGGATCATAGTAGCATCCAGATCCTAGTTCCCTTAGCGCAGAAAGGTGTTGGGCGATCTTGGAGTACAGCCTTGGGATTCATGGGTGCGCTGCCTCCTCCCTTTCAGCGGTGACTTCCACAGTAAAGCAAGCTCTGCAGGAGTCCCTGGTACAGATCCTGCAGCCCCAGCGTC